TATTTATAGTACCTTTGAGTGAAAAAGTCCAAAGTACTAAAACGCTTACAGATAGTTCACTAAAGTACAGAAATACCTAAATATACTAAATGCTTCTGCATTCTTGGTGATCTTGTAACCATAAACAAATGTGTAAGTTGGTTAATATTTATCTTCTTAATCTGATTCTCATTTTTATTTCCTCATTTTTTGGCTATTCATGAGGATTATAATCAGTCATATTTTAAAAACAGGCCTTTAATCATTCCTAGAATAAGCTGGGGTTGTATACAAGTCTTGTAAATTCTTGTTAATGAGAGTATTTTTAGAATTTGGAAGATCAAACCCTTGTTTTAAAAGCTGCTAATAAAGAAAAATCAGGGCACCGCTTTTACCAAATTTCCTTAAGCCAAATTAAAAGAACAAATTCCTTTGGTCATTTGAATTTCCTCCTTGATATTGACTGTATGTGTCACCGACACAGAAAGGAAGCCTACCATTTTTCACTTTTTAAAAAAAAGCATACATTTAAATACCTACTGGTAAAGTTACCAAATACTTAAGTTAGTTTAAAATATTTCATGTTTTATTATTTATATTTTATGTGTACGAGAGTATTGCCTGCATGTATATAAGTACCCATGTCATACAGTGCCTGCGGAGGTCAGAATAGGGCAATGGATCCCCTGGAACTGGAGTTATGGACAGCTGTCAGACGTCATGTGGGTGCTGGGAATCAAAGCCCTGTCATCTGAAAGAACAGCCAGTAATCTTAATTATTGAGCCCTTTAATTTAAATTTAAATATTTAATTTAGGAGATTTAAAATATTTCATTGATTAAAATTGAAACTATCATGCAAATAGGCTTCCTCTCAAAAAAGGGGGGGCAGGGAGGAAAAAAGAAGGAAGGAAGGAATGAAAAGGGAAATAAATTTGGATATTTTCCCCATTGTGGCCATTAATCTTGGTAATTAAATATTGCTATTCTATATTGTTAATTTGTTTTTATACAAATTCATCATTTTCATGGCCAAGTAAAGTTTTTTTTTTTTATTCTGGATGGGTTGGAAAGTCATTATAATAAAAGCTACAAGTAAGTTCCTCACATCTGCATGCTTATTTTCTCTCTTTAATCAGGAAGAAATAACATATAAATCCACTATATAGTAATAAAAGAAATTATTGGGTACAATACTTTATTTTCCTGTGGACCACTGGTCACTGTAATCTGCATTAAAGATAAAATGAGAGGGTCAGGGAGGTCAGTAAAGTGTTTTCTGTGCAAGCAGAGGACCTGTGTTCCAAACCTCAGCGCCCATATAAAGATGGCCATGGTAGACTTGTCTATAATCCCAACATTGAAATAGGCAGACACAGGAGGATTTGGGGGGCTTCCTAGCTAGCTAGCCTTGCCCAATCAGTGAGCTCCAGGTTCAATGAGATGCTGTCCCCCAAATTAAAGTAGAGAATGATTGAGAAGGACACCCAAAGTCAACCTCTCATGTGCACACAAATACGCTATGCACACACACTACTAATAGTAGTAATAATAATGGTAAAAGACCCAGGAATCAGGTAGGTATAGTGCACACATCTATGCTCTTAGCACTTAGGAAGTAGAAGAGGGAGAGTCAGAAGTTCAAGGCCAGTTTAAACTACATAGTAAATTTGAGGCCAGCCTGGGCTACATGAGATTGTCTTTAAAAAGTCCATTAGTCAAAAACGTTTATAATAAAAAAAACATGGGTTAACATTGCATACATTATGTAAGAAATTAAATTGCAAAAATGTTTACAACAATATTTATTCAATCACTAAAAGGATAAAACTTTCAGATTTTAAAAATGAGTAACATTATTATATAAATAAAACCATAGCTTTCATTTAAGAACATTTAATGTAGAAGAATCTTAAAAGATCACATCAGCTATTCGTTTTAGTGACAGTGAATTCCATCTGTGTATTTTAAGCTCATCTATTTTGTTGTTTAGCCTTCTAAAAATTTTATCTTTGCCTATTTTAAAAGTGTCTCTTTTCTTTTAGAAATTATGAGTTATAAAGTATCAAGTGGGCTGCCGATGTAGCTCAGTTAATATAGAGCTTACCTAGCATGCATGAAGCTTTGGGATCTATCCCCAAGACTGCATAAAATCTGGTGTAGTGGCATATGCCTGTAATACCAGCACTGGGGAGGTAGAGGCAGGAGGATCAGAAGTTCAAGGTCATCCTCTGATACATAGAGAGTTTGAGGCTAGCCTGGGATACTACATGGGACCACGTATGGTGGTTTGAATGATGTTCCCCATAGGCTCTCAATACTTGCCCAGTTGGTGGCACTGTTTGCAGAGGTTTAGGAGATGTGGCCTTGCTGGAGGAAGCACACTGGGGGTGGCTTCAAGAGCTCACAATTTTGCCCCACTTTGAGGTTAGCTCTTTCTGCTTCCTGTGTCTGCTTGAAGATGTGAGTGCTCAGCTTTCTGTTCTGGTTGCCTCCTGCCATGCCTCCCCTGCCATGATGAACTCTTATCCCTCTGGACCCATAAGTCAAATAAACTTTTCCTTCTATAAGTTGACTTGGTCATGGTATTTTATCACAGCAACAGAAAAGTCTGACTTTTCTATTAGTCTGACTAACCAACTAAGTAATTAACTAAATAGAGAATACCAAGTTGCAAACTGAGCATTTGTGTGTACATGTGTGTCTATATATGTATATTATGTGTGTGTGGGGTGTTTGCATATGTGTAAGTGCATGTGTGTGCATATGGAGGCCCTAAGTTGACAGTGGTTGTCTTCTTCAATTGCTCTTCAGTTTATTTATTGAGGCAGGGTCCCTCATTGAACCAGAAGCACACTATAGGTAGTCTAGTCTGCCAGTTTGTCCTGGGAACCCCCTGTTTCTGCCCCCTGAATGCTGGGATCAAAGGAGGACTGCCATGCCTGCCCAGTTTTTATGTAGGTTCTTGGGATCTGAAGTGCTTTATCCATTAAGCCATCTCCCTAGCCCCTTGACTATCTTTTTGACCTAGTGTCTTCATCTCCTTACTTGCACAGTATTTCAGGTAATTTTAACAAGCAGACAAATTTAGGAAATACGAAACTAATTGTGAGAAATATGAAGCAAAGCCTTTATTTCCAAACTCTCAGACAAAAGCATCATCAGAGTTCTGCCGGCCTCATTGGGACATCGAAAGTATTTGAACAAGGACATTTACAAAGACTCATATCTTCATTCTCATCTTTAAAAATTAAAATGCAGAGCCTGGCATGGTGGTGCAAGCCTTTAATCCCAGCACTTGGGAGGCAGAGGCAGGCAGAGCTCTGTGAGTTTGAAGCCAGCCTGGTCTACATAGCAAGTTCCAGGCCAGCTGAGGCTACTGGAAGACCCTGTCTCAAAAAGGCCAAAATTAATAATAATAATAATAATAATAATAATACGGGACAGAGAGATGGCTCAGCAGTTAAGAGCACTGGCTGCTCTTGTAGAGGACCCAGTTTCAGTTCCCAACACCCACATGGCAGTTAATAACCATCTAGAACTCCAGTTGCAGGAGATCTGATGTCCTCTTCTGATCTCCATAGGCACTGCACAACATGGGTGACCTTACATACATGTAGGCAATTCACATAAAATAAAAATAATAAGTAAAATATTTTTTAAAAGATGCTTTCTTTTAATTGATAATATTACATATTTATCTTTAAAGCAATTTCTATACATCATGAAATAGGATTAGGCATTTTCCTATTTGTTATTAGAGGTAGAAATAAAAGAGGAAATGTCTACATAATGAATTGCTTTTATTGCTTGTATTTCATTGGCTAAGAATAAATTACCACTTTTCTCTCTAATTACTCCAAGTGTAGTTATAATTTAAATCTAAGGTGCAATTTCCAAGCAAGTAGTGGCTCAGTTCAAAGCTTGCAAAGAGGAGGTAGTTTATTCTACGTAAAAAGTAAAGTGTAGCTTCATGCATCTTACTTTATCCTCATTACAACTAAGAATTAACCTCAAAAGTAATATAAAACTCATTTTAAAAACCTTTAGAAATAAAGTAGGTTCCAAGTAAGACAGCAAACCGAACTTCTCCATTGCCTTTATTTTCCCTTACATTCCCCACTTTCCAAGTCCCAAATGAAGACATTCGGCTTGTTCATCAGTCAATAGTTCAAGGGATGAAAATAACATCATGGGACAATTATCAGGGGCCGCTGAGCTGAGCCTTAGCAACCTTAGTTTCAAAACGGATAATCAAGGGCAACAGTCCTAAAGACGTTTAATTTCATGCGTGGGATGCACGTGTGACCTATCAGGCCTCAGCCTCTTGTTCTTTTGAAGTGATCATCCTCAAAACACCGGGAAAACTTCTGCTTACTCAATACTAGCTTCTAGGACTGGATATCGGCAAATACACACCGCGGTTGTTCGTCTTCCCTGGATTTTCTTTCACACCTCATGTCTAACAGTCCATGCAATTCTGCCAAGGCCATTTTGGATGTGGCAGCCCATCTATGCTGTCCTCATTGGCTACCTGTGCTGTCTCACAAACCCACAGTTCCACATATAGAGAGAGGGGTGAAGATTTTTCTGCAGGTAGTCCCAGTCTGTTTATTTTACATTCATCAAGTGGGTCCTAGAAGCCTTCAATCTATGGCCACCCTGGGAAGCATCTATCAGAGCAAATTGCACCTGTGGTTACTGACAGCTACACCACCTACCTGTTGAGTCTGGGGCCCTTCTCTTGACCATTGCCAGACGCACTTATTTATCCTAGACAAGCTAGTGGTGGGAGTGACAAAGCCAAGCAGAAGAAAGTTGCCTGCTGCAGCCTTCCCACGTGGATTTCTCTCCTTAGCTCCCGCAGAGTCAAGGGGACGCCTGAGAACTGCACGGTCAGGCTGGGGGCCCAGACGATGCCTGGAATGAGCAGGGCCAGGCCGGGGCGGCCTCGCTGCAACCATCGGGGTCCTAGCAGGCCCTGGCAGAGGCCAGCAACCCTCGGGCTCCAGACCGACTCACCTGTCCTCCGGAGAGGCGATGGAGCGCGCTCGGCTCGCACTGACCCAGATCGGAGACGCTGGCGCGGGGACACCGGGGTGGCGTGGGGAGGAAAACGGATTACCTAAGCGGGGATGCGGAGCCCAGAAGGACGCTGCAGCCTTTCACAGAGAAACGGAAGAGGCGGAGGAGGAGCAAGGGAGGAGGAGGGGAGTGCCAGCGCGCGGAGGTGGCCGCGCTCGCTCGGGACCCGGCGCCGGGAGTCCTGTCGCAAGCGCGGTCGCAGAGCGAGCGGCCCGCAGGACTGCGAGGTCACCGCAGGGAGGCGAAGGTCCGGCGGCGCACTGCTTGGCTGGCCCCCGGCGCCTGCACACCAGGCTCTGCCAGGTCCCCGCCCCCTCGGTTGTCCAGGGACCGTGGCATGGAAAGGCGCCGTGACGCCTCTAGGCTTCTAGGGCGGGCGAGGACATCCCACGCCCGCCGGAGTCAGGCGTCTGCGACGTCACAAGTGGAGCGTGGTGAATCAGAGGGGAGGGCTAGGAAGGAAAGGGCTTAGGGTCTCCACATCCACTGTGTGTGGGTTTCTCAGGCGTCGCCCACAAACTCGCCTGAAGAATCTTCCTCCTCCATTCATCCGGACTCTTGGGGAAAATGTGGGTTTGAAGATGGGTTGGCAGTTGAGAAAAGCGGACTTCCTGCCAGCGGTATTCCGGTCCCCTTCTAACAGGGTTGCTGTCAAGGATGCTGCATGTTCCTTTAACCATAGCAATGTCTTCTGGGCAGATGCCATATAAGGTGTAGGCCAAAGGCCAGCGAGGCAGAAAGCTCATCATAGGTGGGATATCATCCCTCTTCAACCTTTTAAACTGTGGTACTTACTTAGTAAAGGACAGTTGTGAATGGTAGGTGGGAATAGAAATGGGTGGCAAGGGTAGGAATTTTAAAAGGGCAGCGTAAAGCTCTGGGGCAGAAGGGGCGTTGTCTTGTTGGTGGGTGTGTTGGGCCCTCTAAGGTGTTTCACAGCCCCTTGCCCTTCATCGTACAACTAGGAAGGGACAGTATTGCACAGAAGCAGCAGAAGAGGTTGCTTATGCAGATGACAGGGCCCTTCCTACCTGGTGGGACAAGATGTGTTCACCAGCAATTCATTTCACCGCTGGACCTAGTCCTAGCTAGCAGGCTTCCCCAGCTACCTAACCATTCATCTGCCTCACTGGGATGACACCACTTGGCCTTCAGGGCACTAAAGAACCGCCAAGACAGAGCCTGAGCAGTACTGACCTACTCCAGAAAACACAGCTTGTACTTGAGAGTTATCCATCTCTCAAATGTAACTCAGCTGGCTCCTGTGGTCTCTTACTTGAGAGTTTTTCTTCCATCTCCTTCCCACTCCTCACTCTTATCCACTAGCAGGTCCTGTTGATTTAAATTCTCTCTTAGCTGCCTTTTTTTTTCAGAGTCTCACTATATAGCTCAAATATGAAATCCTCTTGCCTCTGCTTTCTGAGTGCTGGGATTACAGGTGTGGACCACCATGCCTAGTTTCTTGGATTGTCTTTTAGGTCCATTCTCATTAGGGCAACTTAAGTCCATCTTGCTGCTACTGCTATTATTAATTGGTCTTATAATAACACTTATGACTGCAAAAAAATCAAGGAATAATTTAAACATGATATTTAGAAGTAGCTAGAAGGGGAAAGGATTTGTCTCTCAGAACAGAATTTGGGAGGTGCGGGATATGGATCAGGGGATGAATCTAGTTCACATCTTAATTTGCTACTGCAAAGATCATCCTGCAACAAATATGTCAACATGTCTCTTGCTTGATTAGAAGCCTTTATTGGCTCCTGATTCCTGGTACTATCAGGAGCCAGCTCCTGGGCATGGCATTCAAAGCCCATTGCCCCTTCCCATTTGTCAAGTCTGCCTCTCATACTTTATGGACCCTTTTTACCATACTTGGTTCAGTTTCTTCGATGCACAACTATTTTATAACTCTACATGCTTATGCATGGTATTGCTTTGTTCTGAAGTAGTCGCTTGGAGTTGTAATGGAAAATAGCATAGTGATAAGTATTTACAACTGTTACATCTTACCTCAATCATGAGCTGGAGAGATGGTTCAGTGGGTAAAGGCATCTGCTGCCAAGCCTGATGGCCTGAATTTGATCTGGGACCCACATGGTAGAAGGAGAGAAATGACTCCTACAAGTTGTCCTCCAATCTCCATTCACACACCATAGCCCATTTGTGTACCCCCTCAATAAATAATAAACATAAAAAATTAAATCTTACCCCAGTCTTATGGTAGACATTACTGTTATCTATGAACAGGAAAATTAAGACTTAAAAAGGCTTTTTTTAACTCAAATATGTAATATTTTGTTTGGCTCCAGGACTCATATATTACCTATTCATAATTTAAAAATCTTTATCAAACTGTTATGATTTAACTGTAAGATGTCACCCCTACGCTCGTGCATTGGAACACTCGGTCTCCAGCTGGTACTGCTTTGGAGATTACAGAACCATTAGGAGGTGAGCCTCACTGGAAGAAGGAAGTGGGTTGCTGAGGGTAGGCACTTTAGGTTACAATCTGGCCTGTTTCTAGCCATGATCTCTCTGCACCCTGACTACCAGTGCCACATGGCAAGCTGTCTCATGCACCTGCTGCCTCAGCTTGGGCTGCTTTAACCTTCTGTGCCATCCCTACCCCATCTCCAAATGAACTGTAGCCCCCAAATCATGAGCCAAAATAAACATCTCCCCTGCTAAGTATTTCTCTTACGTATTTTGCTTGGCAACAGAAAGCCAACTAATACAGAAAATTGGTACCAGAAAAAATGGATTTGTTACTGTGACTAAACTTGACCATGTGGTCCTTCAGTCTTTGGAACTAGCTTGTGGAAAGAATGTGGAAGAATTTGGAGTGTGGACTAGGGGAACCTTAGACTGTTATAAGCAGAGCTTAACAGGCCTTTGTAGTAGAAGTGTAGAAGATCACAACACCAATAGAAATACCATCAAGTTCTGAAGTTCTTAGAGGGGAGCAAGAATTCTACTGGCACTGGCATAAGGCCATTTGTGTTAGGTTCTTGTGTTAGTCAGCCATGTTCCAACTGTGTCCTACAAATTGAGAAGAGCTGAATTCACATGTAATAGAATAGTTTATTTGGGGAGGAAATTTCAAGGTAGAGTAGGATTATTGCTGCGTTTATCTAGATTTACAATGAGAATTTTGGGTGGAAGGATATAGAAAATATACAGTTTAGTGAAGAAAGGTGTGTGAGTGAGTTTAAAGTTTTGGACAAAGTCACTTCTGAAAAAGCAGCTGCAACAGTTAAAGAGAGTAGCTTAATTAAAGAGAGATTTCTGACTCTACTACAATAACAGGAGATCCATGAACACAAGGCTTCACCCACTCAAAGCTCCAAAGCATCCTGCTCCAACTGAACTGGTTAGGGAAATATTTTCCAGGTTTGGTCATGCAGATACTTGGAGACCACCAGAGGTGAAGTGAAAGGGAGCCAAGCTACATCTTCAGCTGCAGCAGAACTTGGTGTCAATCTCCATCTAATATTGACTTTGCGAGCATGCAGGATTTGACTTATAGCATCATGGAAGCTCATTCCACGGTTCTAGAAAGACACTAAAAATAGGTAATATGGAGTGGCATTAGACTCCCCTTCATGGGCTCCTTAATGGGTCATTCATGAAGCTTTGAAGGTTGAAGCCAAGTTGCAATGGAGATCCAAGGATGCATAGAGATCCTTAGAACCGCTAAGGATCTTAGGAACATAAGGGTTAAGGACGCTTAGGAACATAGGACATCTGCCAAGAAAACTGACACAAACTGAATCCCAGATGATGCCACAAGCATCAGATACCAGATGTAAGGCTGTAGAGTTTGGTGTTTGGTGTAGTGGGTTTGGCTTTGCTTCATCCCCTTCCCTGCTAGAGTTCCAGTTCCCCCTTTCAGAACAGGAATTTTTGTTCTGTATCACTTTATTAGAAGTAGGTAACTTGCTTTTGTTAAAAGATTGAGTCTCGAAGACTTTTGGACCTTTGAAAAGTGTTGAAACTATAAGGAAATGGAGTTTTAGCAGCTAAACTGAACCCATTTTTTTTCATTATGAGATGGTCATAGGGTGCAGGGATGAAATATTATTGTTTAAACATAAAAATTTTCCTTATAGGCTCATGTGCCTGAACATGATTTGCAGTTGGCAGCAGTTTTGGGAGGTGTTGTGTGACACAATTCCTGGGGAGACATGAACAAATATCTACTCATCCAGGAAATGATGACAGACCAAAGTAAGGATACCACTGAAGTTCGACTTGGTGAATAAATGAGTTTTTATTGGAGTTACTAACAGGAGTATTGTAAGTCAAATTTACTCCTGGGAGATGCACAGGTAGCTCCCAGCTTTCAGGTCTGCTGAGATTCTCTCCCCATGCTGTCCTTATGACCAACTGACTGACAAACTGACATAATGTCCCTCTAAGCTACAGTTTAGGGGATAAAGACTGTTATTTGGGCATACCAACAGAGCTATGATGGTGATCAGGGGTTACTTACAAAAGGCAGGGACACCATGGGCTTTTTTTCCTACATCTCGGTCTGCGGCTGCTGGCTTCCAGGCCAAAGATGGCAAAGCTCCCCCCCTCCTCCCTGGCTTCTATGTCTATTCTTAGACCCCTCCCCTCATGCAATTGAAGCTGACTGATTCGGTGGGAGGGGTGGGTGACTGTCTCTCTCCGTTTCTATGGAGTCTCTTAGGGTTCAGACATCCAACTGTCCCTAGTCCTTTGGAGGACATGCTTATCCAACAAGTATTAATGAGGGATAACCAACAGGAAGAGAAATGACTCAAAGACAGCCACATCACCAAAGCCCACCCCCAACATGGATGATGCTCATGAAAGTAGGAAACCTGGAGCTCACCACACAATTTGTAGGCAGGTAGAGTGTCTCTTCCAGGCAACTCAGCTGGTCTCTGTCTCTTCTAGGCAGTTAGACTAGTGTGATAATCCAAAAGTTAACTCTTAACAGTACTTACTACTTATATATGTGTAATCTGAAGTCCCTCCATCTGAGCACTATGACACGAACTATAGTCCTGCCTCCTCCCCATGCTCTGTGCTCTGCGGAAGGAGTCAAGCAGGCAGAAGCCCATCACTTCTCCCACCCAATCAGTTGACCTTAGCTGCATGAAGGGGAGGAGCCGTCACCATATTGAGCAAAGGGAATGGGGTGAAGGTGGGCGAGCAGGCAAGCAGCCAAGTGCAAAAAGCTGGGGGAGATGGACGGGGAGCAGGACATACTGATGGTGGTGTTTCATGCCTTTGGTAAGTCACCCCCTCCT